ATACATATAATGAGTGTCTATATTAGTGTTCAGTTCTGGATACATTTGATGAGTGTCTATATTAGTGTTCAGTTCTGGATACATATGATGAGTGTCTATATTAGTGTTCAGTTCTGGCACAGTCCCTCAAGTGGTTCTGGATACATATGATGAGTGTCTAAATTAGTGTTCAGTTCGGGATACATTTAATATATAGAAGCAAATTATTTTACTACTGAGGAACCTATTTATGTTTATTAAGACAATTACAATTTAAGGTTGGATATTAGTGAATACTGTAACCAACCAAATTTCTGAATGATAAATTTTCATGAATAAAATTTTGTAGTAAAAATTTCACCCAGTTTTTGGGCAGTTAGTGAAAATGATATTTTGTGAATACTCTGAAAAATAATGTTTTGTTTTTTTTTAATTCGGTTTATTAACATAAAAAGAAATATAAATATACCAGTAATACTTGAATCAATGATTAACTAAATTGTATGTTATTTTATAATTATTATTAGTATTTTATCACACCATACTTAACACACTATATAAATTGAAAGACATAGATAATATTTACAATATGGAACAGTTTTTAGACAACATTTAATCGTACATTATAGTTTATTAATATGATATAACTGTAGAAAAAGAAATATTTCCTGGATTTTAATTTTAGCAGATAAGATGTTGGATTGAAGGATATTCTGTTTAAATTCACTGTTTTGAGAAGAAAACATTCACTGGGTTGTAATAGAGTGCAATTAACTATCAGCAAAAAAAAAATGAAAACGAAACACAGCTAATAAAATCTATCATACTGGGCTTATGACATCATGATACATGTACTCCTTATTTCCATGGAAACTAGAAACGCCCAGAGATGTTTGGATGTTTACTGATATTTCTTATTCCGTGCTACTAATTTTTTAGATATATTCACGATAATTCCAAACTGGATTTATTCAATGTTCATTGGTATTATAGAAGTCCCAAAAAATTAAGTTTTAGTGGACATTGTCACGATGGCTTTGTTGTGTCATTGTTTTCTCGGGTCCTAGCAATTATTTTTCCGGACATTTAATAAATGATCAACATTGCTGAGGTGGCATAATTTTATGTTCAGATAGATTAATTTGGTAATTAATTGCAAATATCAATACTTACCAATTCCTTGTATTCCCGGTGAGTCTCCTTATAAACAGACTTAAGCTCTTCATCCGGGTCGAACACTAAAATGCAAATAAACAAAACACTTGATTTGTCAGACGCCGATCTTTCTAAAACTTTGTAGTTATGTTTTCCATGTTCTTCAAACTGCACCTACCTATACATTTATGTTCAATGAAGTTGACGATTGGTACAGTCCACATCGGACTGTAAAGGAACCCCACTACACTGTCAAACACCCAGTCAGCCATCGCGAAAATCCTTGGCTAATAGTAGAGAAATTGTCAACAAACACACCGTCTGAATCCTCTAAGTTATTTCAACTAAACTAAATAGAGCCTCTAGCTTGATCATTTTTATCAAAAAATAGCTTACTCAGTTCCGTCGTCGATCAATGATATAACGTCTGCCTAGTTTATTCATATCGACAAGAAAGTTGAAAGTTGGAATATCATAACCGGAAATGATGCAATGTACGTTCTGTACACAGCTGTCAAAATCAAACCAGAACGTATAATCAAAAACCTAGTCTATTAAAATTTTGTGTTTTTTTTTATTTCAGACATTTTATTTTAATTTTACATTATTTTTTAATCATTTTTGTACAAATTCAACGTTCATCATCACATACTATATATGCTATTGAACACTTTAAAATAACTACCAAAAAATAAATAATAATTTATATGAAGAAAATGACAATTAAATACTAGTACTTATTTATATAAAAAAGTCTCATCTTATTTTATTCAGATTATTAGCAAAATGTTCAACAAATAAGTGATGAGCACATATAAGCATGTCTATATTACAGTACCTCGGAAGAATGGTGTTTACGTAATTATTGGGAGCGAACTGTTGGGCTCCCGGTGAT